ATACTCATGTTCTACGCTCTTACAAAGAATAATATTTATATTTCAATATTATTAAAACGTGCATTAAAAATTTGTTATGTTAAGAGAAAATAGAATTATTTTTTAAATATTTTTTTGAGAATATAATTTATAAACGTTGTTGAGAGGAGATATTTCATTAAAATTAAAATACACCATCATTTATTTTTTCAATTCAAAGACGCTAGTATTTATGTATTGGTTCCATCGAAACAAAAAAGGTGTGAAAAGAGTGTTGCGTTTAGAAAATTGAGCGATGGAGATGAGTCCATGATGACCTTTGGCGAAGACGAAGGGAATAGGATCCAAAAGTCACTTGCCCTCTCCACAAACGTTTGCAAACTGTGTGGGATTCGTCAACATTTTTGTTGTGGCGCCGCAATTCATCACACCATATATCCTCCACTGTCTTTTTATTCCGTTAACTACCTGTCACGTTTTATTCCACTTAATCCATGCAAATGTGTAAATCTTTCTTTCCTTTTAACCTTTTATTTTACGAAACACGTTAGGTGTAATTCTTATTTTAAAAAATTATATATTTTTATAAATTTTGTAGACCTAAAGTGATTCGATTAATAAAAATTATTTATGTTTAAGTATTATGTAATGTAAAAATATATTTTATTGTAATTATATTAAAATTGTATGCTTTATTACATACAAAATATTTTTCCTATTAATAAAAATGTTTCTAATCACTTACAAAATAAAATACATAAATATACACAAATTCTCTTAATTTATTAATATATAATAATTTAACTTCTTTAAATTAATTAAAGTTCAAAATACTTTGAAATATCTTTAATTGTGCTTAATTAATGAATTTAGAAAAATCGTAAATGGTTCAAAAAAAATTATAATTTTTTTTCTTCATAAACATGATCCATGTATTATTTCAAAATTAATAATAAAAAATTAATATGTATTCATGAATGTAACTTCTATATATATATAGAAATAAAAATATGTTTCATTCTAAAGTAAATTAAACTAGCATGATTGCTCCAGTAAAAAAAATGATATAAACTACAGCTTCAAATTTTCGTCAGGAGAGGGATTTATATTTATTGTTTGATAATACTCGAGGTAAATATTTACTGTTTGATAGTATATTAGTTAAGATTGTTTTTTAGTTAAAATTATTTATAAAATAAATAATTTGAATATATATAATAAAATATATTTTATTAATCAAATAAGATGTTCATTTTTATTGTATTTAAATAAAATAAGTTTTAATTTAAATTTAAAATACTTATATTTTAAATCTTAATTTCCTCTCTTAAATATAAATTATTTATATTTTTATCATTTAAATTTATAATTTTAACATTTTACTTAAATTGAAAAAATATCATGAAATATTCATTATTCAATGAAATCAAGTGTTATTGTACTTGTATTTTTTTTTTAATATTGTGTTACACAGATACAAATAATTAATGTTGTTTCTCTTGATTGAATAAAATAAGAAAATATTACATGTCTTTTTTATAAATTAAAGGACGAAACAAAATAAGAAAATAATAATTTAATCTCAGAGCGGTATTATTAATAGAGTTAATTACTTATACATTATTAGTGTAAAAAAATTTTATACTGGAAACCAATCATATATTTTAATAGTTTATGTCATTTATTTATTTAATAAAATAAAAATAAAATAAAATAAAATAAAATATATAATTAATTGCTGATATAAAAAAGTTTAGGGTGTTATTTTAGAAAGTGAGGGAAAGAAGCAGTATTATTATTAAAGTGATAGAAGGGGTATATAATTGAGACGTGTAAGGTAGGTGTAAGGGGTGGGCATTTGGCAATTGGCAGTGAGGAATGAGGTATTTTGGAATAGGATACAATGCTTATGCAACCAACTATATAAACATTGAAATGCAAAGTGAGTGTGAGGTAACACAAGAATTCCTCCTCCTTCCTCTTTCGTGTTGTCTTGTTACATACATACCGCTATAGATAGCAACATGGGAGCGGATAGTGGAGAGCTGATGAAAGCGCTTAAGCCTTTTATGAAAACTCATTATCTGTCTTCCGCATCTCCCTCATCATTATCACTGTCAGTGTCACAATCTCTCCCCAACCAACTCAGCCCACACCAAATACGTCAGATTCAGCAGCAGCAGCAGCAACCCACAAGACTCGTGGGCCCAAAGCGCGTCCCCATGAAACACACAGCCACAGCGAAGCTCTACCGCGGGGTGCGACAGCGGCATTGGGGGAAGTGGGTGGCCGAGATCAGACTCCCGAAGAACCGCACGCGCCTCTGGCTGGGAACCTTCGACACCGCAGAGGAAGCAGCCTTGGCATACGACAACGCAGCGTTTAAGCTCAGGGGCGACTTGGCACGCCTCAATTTCCCTCATTTACGACACAACGGACCCTTGGTTCTCGGCGACTTCGGCGATTACAAGCCCCTCCCTTCCTCCGTCCACTCCAAGCTCCAAGCTATTTGCGAAGCCTTGCCCCTTTCCCTTTCCCACAAACCACAGCCCAAGCCCTCTGTCCAAGACGTCAAGCCCGTCATACGCGCTGCTCAGCTCCCACTGTTGGAGGATTTTAAGGTCAACCCCATGCTGTCTGCCGAATCTTCTTCTTCGCCTGAATCCGGTGTTTCTTTCTTGAATTTCTCCGATTCTAGTGAGTGGGATGAAATACACAACTTTGGGTTGGAGAAGTACCCTTCCGTGGAGATTGATTGGGCGGCTATATAAAATGCTTGCTTTACCTTTCCTCTGCTTTGGTTTTACGATATACTATGTACCATGTCTATGTCTATGTCTATGTCTATGTACTTTTACGTTTATGTTTTGGTGTCTTTAGCTGCTTCCGCGATGGAATTTTTAACATTTGCGGATGTTTTGCTCGGACACAGCTTGCAAGTTTTAGGCAGAGAGGGTCCTAGTCCTAGTAGTGGTTGGTTATGGTCTTTTACTCTTTTTGGTCTGCTGGTGTTTTTTATTCCTTGCATGACCCTGCCCTTTCTACTTCTTCTTCAACTGTAATTAAACCGTCCTTCCAATATATCACAAATTTTACATGTTCTTGTAAGCATCCAGACCTATATGCTCTTATCAATTTTCGTTTTAAGCTACGTTATTCTAGTATGCTAATTCCTTTGCTGACTTATAACGGTCATTCAGTCTGACTCTGACTATTGTCAATTCTGAGTGCTGTCAAATTGTTGCTGCAACCTTTCTTTCTCATCCATACAAGACTTTTGCTTCTGTTTTTATTTTTTATTGGATCTTGTTCGCTAATGCTTGGAGGAGTATTAATTAAGGAGAATCAAATATAATTTCATTAATAGTTTAATCATTTAAAAAATACTTTTTCTAGGAATTTAATTGACCCGTACACGTGAAAGATATATTTTACCACTATTAGTTAACAAAATTTATTCTTATATAATTTTAAAATAATTATTATAATAGTCAATCAATTTATCACATGTAAAAAAAATTATACTTGTATTCATAAATTTACTATTTCCTTTTTAAAGGAAATACATGTTATCTAGTGGGTGGTCAGAGAGATTTAAATAACTTATCCTTTTAATCTCATTATATTCTTACAAGCAAAAAAGTAACATTTCATGATTTTTTCATTAAATAGAAACACTAATTTTGTAGTTATTTTTAATTAAATGTCCCTTTTAAATGAAAGGTTGAGTATCTAAGCAAAAAAAAAAAAAAGTGTTTTTGATGCTCCATATATTGTTTTACTGCATCCACATGATGCAATGTGACCGATAGATAATGTTATTTCTTAAGAATGTGATTAGAATCAAATCTTAAACGGTAAAAAATATTTTTAAAAATACCATCTCTTGAAATAAAATTAGTATTTCAAAAGATCTTTATCTTAAGTCTGGAGCAAGGAATCGAGCAGCCGTGAGTTAAAAAAGAATGTTATCTTTCCTTGTGGATCAAGTTATGAACCTCCTAAGATCACCCCATTCATGCAGTCAAAGGGGAACTAATCAAAAGTTTCAGATTCATTTCATTCGCGCAGAGAGAGAGAGAGAGAGAAAAGAAAAGCAAACGTATATATTATTAAATAAAATTATTGGTGTCAACGGTTTTATTTCAAAGTATAACTATTCCATTCAAATTTCAATAGTTGGGACTTGAGATTCCCAGCATACATGTTGCGACGTGGAACAAGAAAGGATCAGAATACGAAGCGCTAGCTCAATAGATATATACAAAATTTAATTTAATATAGATAGATCTAGAACTGGATAACCAACCTTCGTGATGATGATGATCTGCAGTTGGAAGAATATTAAGAGATTAACCAAGGATTTCTTCAACAGCATTCCACTAGTGATAAAAAGATAAATTAATTAAGATTAATTCAAGTGATTAGGCAGTTGTTTTTATCTCGTTAAAATAAATTATTTCTTAATAGTTGCAATATTTTATATTTAAAGTTTATAATAAATAAATAAATAAATATATGTGAATATATAAATTATATTTACATTTATATTAAAAAGTTTAAACTGTGATATGAAGTTATTGTTAATTATTAACGTATTTTAAAATATTAAAATTTAATTTAGAAAAGATAAAAAAATAAATTCAGAGGGATAAGGAGTTAAAATATGAAACATACAAATAAATATGAAATGAGGGTAGCTTCAAATGGTTGAAAAACTTTTTGGTTAGTATTTGAGGTTGAGTGTGAAAAGTACATTCAAACGAGTGAGCAAAGAGATAAAATATAGAACAACAAGTCTCTTCAAATTATACACTTTTTTTTGTTTGTATAAAATTAAAAAAATAGATATAATTGTTTGTGCAAGAACTCAATTAACTTAAAATTTATGAATAAATTAGACAATTATATAAAAGTGATTTTTGTTGAATCACCGTGATCAGTCTAATATGGTAAGAAGTTGAAGGTAATATATACAAGTTCTTATATTTGAATATTATTATATTCATTATACACATAAAAAAGTGATTTTTTTAACATCAATCCTTATTTAAGTAAAAGTGTGAATATTAAAAAATCTGATGTAACAAATATTTTTAATAAAAAATAGTTATGGTCTAACGTCTAAGTACTTAAAATAAAGTTTTGGGAGAAAATTTAAAATAATAATAGTGTAAGGGTAGGAAGTAGAAAGGGGAATTTTGATGGGCAGCTTAATGGGGTTGAGACAAGGAATTTAGAAGGGCTCCCTTCTTCATCCAAAAGGTGCAATTGCAATCAATAAAGAAAGAAGAATGGAAAGATGCATCAAATTCAAAATCACAATCAAATACATATTCTTATTCCTCACCAAGACAAAGTTAAAACGGACGTAACTTCAATACAAAGGCCCACAATGATACTTGTATAATGAATTATGCAATTTGTGGATTAAATAAAATAAATATCTATGATTGTGGCCAATGGCCATGGCATGGGCATCGGGAATCCTTCCAGAGGCTACAAAATTATGCCCTTTTTGAATTGGTGACTTTAATATAAAATTGTGTCTTTTTGAATAGCGTTGAAAAGGAATGTGAAGGAGATCAGAAATTTGCATTGCATCTTCCATCAAGTTGGTAAAAGGATTCCGTGATGAGGGGATAAAGCTCATAAACTATCACCTTATTTGCTCTTTACAGGCTTTAATGATGTGGCTTAGCACGCCTCCTTCCAATCTTCAAGTTAAGAATCTTCTTTCTTTCCACGCCCTCAGATAAACGTTTTCAGGGTTTTAATTCAGAGATTCTCCTCCTACGTGCCATCCCCCAAAAGAAATCAGCATCGTATAGACACAAGAAAAATCAAAAGATGATTTCTACACTTTCTTTGACCAAAGCCTGCAATGTGATGTGATCAACCACAAGTGCCAATTCAATAATTAAAACATTATCAACTACTCCTGCACTATAATTTTTTTGACAGTTTGGGAGGTTGCGAATTAGATTCGTCTAATACCAACGGATGATCAGGAATTTAAATTGCTTAATTTCCTCTTATTCGCTAATTTTTATCAACTATCCAACTATGAAATAGGACTTATACATCCACTTGCATTCACACAGGGATGACAAAAATATTCGCACCTGCAGGTATCTGCAGGTAAAATTTGCTATGGATAATAAATGAATAGATGAATTGGGTATCTGCAGATAATAGAGACGGATAATTTTTTACTCATTTATAAATGAGGCGGGGGCAGATATGATGATATTCATACCCGCGGGTACCCGTTTAATAATATTTATTAAATATCTTAGTTATCCTTGTACCACATAACCCTAAAATTATACTCTCTCATCTTTGTGATATTATTTTAAATTATTGATTATATTGCATTTTTATTATTATTTCAACAAAATTAACGTTAAATACAAGTTCAAAATTAACATTGAATTTTTACTTTTAATATTTCAATGACATTAAATATAAATTTAAAATTATTTGTAATATAATTTTTTACATTTTTAAAAAAATTTATAAATATCCATGGATATCCGTGAATATTCAAGAAATTCGTGGATACCCGCTTAATAGATACCTGCGCAAATATGGGATGGGTATGAGGTCAATTTTCATTCAGTGGGGCGAGACAAATTTACTATTACCCGCCCCATGGGATCCCATTGGCATCCCTATATTCACCCCTTCATTAAACATTTAAAGCTATTTAGCCATTTAATTTTTCTTTTTAGGACACTCGTTAATTCTCTTATAAAACGTATATTCTTTTGGAAAAAAAATATAGATGTCAATATTTATTTACATAATTATTAGAGTTAACTTAATGATGAGAAGATGAAATAATAAACACAAATTTTAAGTTTAAATTATAATATCGTGATTGTAAATTTTATTAATAAATAAATTATTTATCCATAATGTTAGGGTAATTATTATTGTCATAAACTTTATGTAAAATGTCACTTCTAGCATGATTTTTGTTTTTGTTTTTTAAAGGTAGTATAAAATTTTTCGTTTAAATATTTACTCTTCTTTTTCTTTTCTCTCTTAAGTGGGTTTTTCATATCTCCTGTCACGATTTTTTTAAACGGATACATGTAACAACATGATTTTTTATTTATGTAACAATATGAGGTAATAATATGTAGCTCTTCTAATAATTTTTTTTAACAATTTTTTTTTAAATTTTACATATAATAATTAAGAATACAATCTAGAAAACTAAGAAGAAGAGGAAAAACCTTTTACTATTTTAAAAAATAATGCATGAAGAGTTTTAATGAGTAGTGTTCCGGTCCGAAGGACTTCTAGGGTTTTTGCTAGCCCTCAAAGCCAGAACATTCAAGAATGAAAGTTTGCCTTCTTAGATCTAGGGTTCAAGGTTTTATAGTTACTTCTTTGCGGGCCTCATAGGCCCGTAAGTTTCGGGATCCTTCATGATAATTTTTACGTTCCAAATATTTGATCATTATTCATGAGATTTTATTCCTAATATTATCGGGGGGGTTATTCCATAATTTATCTCGCATGTGGGGGTGTACGCTAGGTTATTGATTCATTACTGATCCATCCTTATTTCCCCTAGCCAAGGTCTTGACGTTCTCGGCTAAGGATCTTGTCTCTAGATGCCTGGCAAAATCATCTCGGAACGTACCTGAGATGATAACTAAGGTTCTCGTCCCACGATCCTTGGAGTACCCCTCCTCGACGAAGACATCTCGACATTTCTTTGAGATGTATTTGGAATCTTGACTCAAACCCTGTTGATAAAGTCATCTCAGGATTCATCTGGAATGGTACAAGTAGCAATAAAATACAATTTTTCTAGAAGAAAGAGGTTAAGTAAATATGAGTGAAAAATTTGTATTTTTTTTCAAAGCCTTGGAATTAATTAGGTAGAGAAAATGTTTTGAAAGTAGGTATTAATACTCTTTAACATGTGCAAAGTTGCAAAGGATAAAAATTTGTATTATAAATTAACATTTTAACATATATTATTTATTTGTCAGAAAAATTTTAAGTGTAACATTTTAAAATTATTTTGAGAGACCTTGATTAAACAGTAAAATATGGAGAGGGTTGCTTAAAATATTTATGTACCTAGTGTT